AGGCCGTAGGCCTTCTGTTCCTACCACACAAATTTGAATCTATAAATTCTCTTCAGGTTTTGCAATTATCTCATATCCAAATGAATAATTTAAATAGTGTCCAGGTTTAAGGTAAAATATATCATTTGAAACTATAGCATGTGAATTTAGGATAAAATAAAACCACTGTTGACAAATGTCCCATTCAGGCAGACTGGCAAATATATCTATGAACAACTTAGAGAACAAGAGATAGAGACTATAATCCTAATAGACATCATTAAGGAATAGTTACTAAAGTGTACTATGAATGCAAAACTGAAATTCAGTAGTGAAATATATATAGACAAATAGATGGTTTCGCGATGGGTCCACCACTAGACCCCATATTAGTTGACATTTTTCTCATTAAACTGGAAAATGGTCCATTAGCACAGCATACTAACAAGTTTTCATTTTACTGCCGATATATAGACGATATGTTCATCTTTTTTGACGAATATACTGATCGGATAGAGGCATTCAAGAGAGTTAATGAAACTGATCCATCTATTAAATTCACATATGAGAAAAAATAGAGGTAGAATAGCCTTTCTAGATGTTCTACTTGGAAGGAGAATAGATGGGTCACTAAAAAGAAACCTAAGAAAGGAAACTACTTGGACTGGACGATATAAAAATTTTCTTAGTTTTGTCCCTCTATAATAATAATAAAAGGAACCTGATTAAAACACGTCATGATAGAATTAAGACCATATGCTCCCTAGATGAGTCTGAAAAAGAGACAGAGACATTGCGTGTTTCTCTACAAGAAAATGGATATCCGGAGAAATTTACAGGTAAACATTTAGTCATGAGAAAAGACATTGAGAAAGGCCTAACTGGGAGCAAAAAGCCCCTGTATATACGCTTACAATTTAGAGGCGATAAACCCAGAGAAATGGTGATACTGATGTTGCATAGAGCAATCCAAAGAGCCTTTAATGCTGGCAAATTGCAATTAATTTCTTTTCACATGTCCAATGGTTACTCAGAGATTGAAAGATAAATTACCTAGACTATCCAACTCCTACTTTATCGATCAATTCAACTGATCATGTGGAGTAAGTTATATTCGCAGGTGTTCTAGAAATTTCTATTTTCGTGTTCGCGAGCATCTCCTAGTTTGGTTAAGCAAAGGCATATGGTTAAAACTGTTAACAGCTTCAATTTAGCTCATTTAGTGCGAACGGGCAATCATTTACAACAATATAACGTGCTAACAACAATCTGTCTAAATACGTCAGATTAAAAACCCCTCGAACGGCTGAAGCAATAGCTATCCGGATTTAAAAAAAACTGGAGTTATGCGTTCACAAGAAATATGTTCAACCGCTTCTTTTACCCTAGTCAACTTCTAGTCTAATTAATTAATAATCATTTTGATGATATAGTAACATAATCCGATTAATGCTCATACAACCTTCCTCTATGCATTTTCATAGCTTAACTTAATCGCACATTTTATTATCATTATCATCACTGTTATCATTGTTATTATAACACATGAAAATGCTTTAAGAAATTTATTCCAACATCTAACCCTGTTTATTAATTCATACCTAAATTTATATGATGATTTTGAATATCACCATCTCATGTTAACCATATCTATTTTAATCATTTATCTCACAATTTAATTTAACTTATGAACTTATTCAAATCAACACATCATATCAATAGTCCAAACATTAAAGGTTTTAGTTTATAGGACAAACAACAATCTTTGATTCGTATATTATAGTTTTAAATCATGTATTTTACCTTAAACCTGGATACTATTTAGATGATTCAAATTTGATATGAGATAATTGTAAAACCTGAAGAGAATTTATAGTGTCTTAATATGATGGGAATGTTTCAGCAACAACATTGAAATAGCCCGGTGAAATATTTCATGATACTTTAAAACGACTTGATTTAAGATTATTTTATTTTTTTTACTTAAAAAGGAATAAGAACAAAGGAAATGAAGACAGAAAAACAACAACAACAACAAGCATGACCTGAACAGTTTAAAGGCATCCAAACAAGAATGTCATGATTGCATTTATATATAATACAAACTGATAGGTAAGTACATCATAATAAACTGATTAATGATTCATATTAAATATTATGGAAGATGAAAGAATGACATTAAAGCCTTTTACTATTTTATTTCAATATTATAAAGTAATTAAAGGTAAAAGAAATGCAAATAATATTTTGTCCATCACAAATTGTGATTGATAGTTAAGAGTGTTTTATGAACATGTTTCCAATGAAGAGACCTTTTCAAAAAACAACGAAACACTTTTATTTATACTCTAAGGTTTCCAATAGTTGTTTTCTTAGTTTCTGTTTACAATTTATTTGTAAAGCCTAATTATTGAATTTTCTCTTCACCTTGGGAGAAATATCAGTTTAATAAAATGGTTTGTGGAGATTCGATTACTATTATTAGTGATCCTAATTTCTGCTATTCACTTTCATAGAAAAGCTTCGAAGCCCAATCTTATAAACAAAATATGTAGTTAAATATGTTGATCAAACAGTGGATAATCTCTCAGTTACGGTGGCTTATTGCACGTTTTGTAAATGAAACTGAACTTCATAATTCATTTATAATTAATATTAAGCACGAAACAGTGATCAAATTTTGAGTACATTTTAGTGAGAAAAACCGTAGTGTATGTAAAAAATGTTAGTCAAAACACGGTGTCTAACTCAAGCACCAGATAATGTACAAACACGTAAAAAAATGACCATCCAGAAATAGCAATTAAAAATGTGAACTTATTGTATCACAAAGACTGTAGAGCTGTTTGAGAATAAAGTAAAACAGGGGAATGTCATTCGCTTTTATCATAATACAGTTCAAGATTAATGAACCTACAGACGAGGTATGAATCAGACACCGTAAAGTTATAGGAACACCATAATAAGTAGACCTAGAAATTCATATAACTGATTTCTCAGTGATAGTATTCCTTTGGGACTTATCCCAAACGGTTCTTCACTGAGAAGTAATAAATTCAAACTTTTTTGTCGAACTGAAGTCTCAATAGAATCTAAGATAGGACAGATCGATAGATAAAGTTCTAGTCTTCGTCAAACAAAGCAGGATTTTATTTTCTAAGAATACCACCAGCAGTCATACATATCTAGACAAGACTCTGCTGATGAAGCCCCTCCAAATAGTAATAGATTTTAGTGATGATAAATGAATGAAATACTTACGTAAACTTATCACAAATGGTCGATGATATTTGAATAACCTATTTGTAATCATACAGTAGAGGATTAGCGTTCCTATACTTAAGGTAAGCAGTTCATCTCTGGGTAACAGATAACTATATAATAAACTTTCTTCACAGCTGTTTCAACAATGACCTTAACGGGAAAATTTTAATGAGCGAAGCAAGATTCAACAACTCTGCGCACTTCCGTTTTTGAGTTATGTGAACCACTCAATTCTTCGAATCACCGTACAAATGTACTTATCTTCCAATCTCTTCAACACATTTTTTGAGCCGTTGGAAAACGATAATAATTAAAACTGGTAAGCCTTTTGAAACTTTCAAGGTTATATTATTTAGATGAGTCTTTCAGCATATCTAAAAATACATTCCACCTACATCAATCAACTTGACCATATATACAGTAAGTAAACTTGTAAGTCTTTTATTAACGCTTTCTTACCCTCTTATTTGGTCAGTCTACAGCTATGTAAAACAAATCGCTCGCTCACATAGTGTGTTTATTGATCCATCATGTTGACTAAAACTGCGTGATTCATCAAAATATAATATACAAGTGGACATATATACCAGATGTGTGGCGAGATAACTTAGCCATAAGGCTAAGTAGGCACATGTAATTGGAAGGAGGTCAGAAGGCTTGACTTAGTCTACATATAAGAGATCAGAACAGAAACACACCTGTGGAAATAAGTCAGTCAGTTAGACATGAGAAACACAGGACCTGGAATCAGTCCAATTTGTCAAACCACAATAGTACGGTGGGATTAAATCGCCTAGATGGAAACCGTAGTAGAACCAGTAGTTGTAAAGATTAGACATACACAAAATGATTAAAGAAAAAGCTGATTCACAGAATACAAGTTATGAATTCTGAAACTCAAAAGAAAAGGGAGGAGAGTGAATTAATCTTCACTAATGTGAATTATTCTGAGTCATATCACGCATGGTCTCAAACCAATGGTCACATCCATTTAGATGACCCCAAAGATGCATTCTGCAACCATCGACAGGGTCCAGACCAGCGGTCGATGATTTCATGGACTCATTCCACATTTTGGTTTGGCTTCCCCTAGCTTTCTTTCAACTTACAGCTACATCTGTCAATATATGGTGTAAAAGTAGGTGGTGGTCGGGAATACTATATATATATATATATATATATATATATATATATATATATATATATATATATAGCATTCTAACCTGCTTGGTCTTTGAAGTCCCATAAACGTGTCAACTGACTAACCATTTTTCCTCTAGTACCCTGCAACTGACTTTAACAATAGCTCACTCAGTAGTCCTAATATAAGAAAGAAGTGCTTCGAATACACCTGTGATCAAATACTAGTAACCTACGAATGTCCTCTACTTTTAAAAGCTACGTTCCACAATACAATGCTATGGCGTATACTCGTCCTTTGATTGGTAGACGAACATTTCGCCCACGTCACTGATGATTTAATTCGTCAAAAACGAGGAAATTTTCCGAAATTCCTGTTGAGATTTCGTTATACATAAACTCAGCAGTACTGTCAAGGCTTCCACGACAAGTGGAGTGGTCAACGAACTCAACTACTTCATTCCACGACAGATTTCCTAGTTTATTCTATTCTAAATAGGTTCATTAGCAAAAATCATTCAAAAATAGTTATAATTACTGAAATCAAAGCTGTAAATCTAAGACACACTCTTAAAGCACAACTTATATCAGTAAGTCAGTAGTAAAGCATCATAATGTACGTCATAATACATGTATATTTTGTATTTTTAAAAAAACGTTTGCTGATGTAACTTCGTTTATTGAGTAAAAAACAGGTAAATCAAATTTTCAGAAATATGCTAAATGTGTTGGCATAAAAAAATAGAATTATCTGTAGTGGTTCAATCCGCGAAAGGCTAGAGAAGCTAATTGGACAAGCATTAGAGTTTACAGATAGAAATTATCAGAAACTGACGAAAACAGGAAACAACAAAACACATGACAATAGTTGAAAGACAAGTAATGAGGTCACTCATCTCGTTTATTCTCTCAGTCTAGTAACCAATGGCCGCATTTACGAGTCCATTCTACGGCTAGAAATAAAGCTCCTGTTGCTGGAAATGTTCTCAATAATGTTGGGCCAAGACCACGATAAAGTGAACGAATTCCTGTAAGATAAGAACGAATTGGTATGCATTAGGACTAATTTTATTACACCGGAAAATGATAGTTTAATATTTTTAGATAAACAGCCTGAAGTAATTAATGCAAATCATTCACAGAAATAAAAGATTGAAAAAACTATGTATAACTTGACTGAAATAAGTGTGAAAGGGGTGAAATAACACCCAAGACTTTTAATTGCTTGGACTACTGCCCAGAACAAGGTATTTCTCATTTTAAAGACTTTTACTTTGGTTTTTAGAATAAGTGAATAAAATGAGTAATTATAAATATACGCGATACCTTGTTTTGCCAAGTTATTAATGTGATGTGAGCAGGCATCTTGTTGTAGAAAATAACACCTCTATCTACATGGTTACTGTATGCAAAAAATATGGGATAATAAAACAATAGGCAGTTACCTTCGTTTCTCTTGATGTCTAACAGGACAGAAAACATGCTTTTTTGTTTACTGACTTTGTTTCCATGAGCGATTGAGGATGACGTGACAGTATGATGTCCGATTTGCATGCGAGACTTAACAACATCGAATGGAAATATCGCCACCCACAGTGAAACTCCACCTATTCCGCCAGCGATAACAGTTTTAATAGGACCCAAATCTTCTTTACGTCCGTTAGTAGGAGTCATCAATGTTCTACATGCTTCGTACCCACCAAAAAAGAAGAAATAACCAGGCATTTCCCTGGCAAATGTAGCACCTAAACCACAAGTAAATCCTTTGAAACCTTTTTCTTTGTATATTGACTTTGTTACTGCCCATGGACCTCTACAACAAAATTATGGTAGTATAAATGATAAATGGGCACAACGCGTTAGTTTAGTGATGAGAACCAACAAAATCAATCAACTTGATTACTTACTCTTGCAGTTGTACAAACTCTGGTAGAGGAATAAGTTTGGAAAAAAATAGTGTGGATTGTTATTATCTATAGTGTTTATCACATATTGAATCAATTAAATAGATCTGATCTATGATAGGATAACGAAAACAGTTACCAACGCTTTTACTATATTAAATATGGCCATTATTAGTGAGAAATAGTACGAATATTTGTTTTCCAATAGCTAGTTGTATCCGCTAAATAGCTGGATGATACCATAACTATCATTCTAAGTAGGAAGAACCACCTGATCTGGAAACTAGCATTTGGTTAAGGCACTAAATATCCTTATCAGTTAATTACATAAAAATGATAAATTAAATCTGGTTCACGAAAATAAAAATGACTAAGAAGTTTACCACGGTTTATTTAACATGAGACCAAGGAACAGTTGTAAGAGAACCTACGTTCATGAACACTGGCAAGGTAAAATAGGTTGATAAGTATTTCAAAATATAACAGTACGAGGTATCGATTAAGTAAGCAATGAAGCAAAATACATTGCCTGAAATTTAGAAGAGTCAATCCAAAAGATACATAGCCCGACCGTAGCTGCTTTTTAGGATCGCCTATTGTGGGGACTCGAACCAGCTATACTGGCTGGAATACATGTTTCTTTAGGCTTTACCTTACCACGTAGGTTGATAGCAGAACGGTAAGACTAAAAACAGTAACTTGAGGCACGAGGACAAAGTCGTACTGCTGATTGTGGAGGGATGCAACAGCAGTAATTTCCCCCGGACAACCACCAGCATCAGCAGTGCTGCATTCTCACAACGGAAAGGAAGGGTCAGAAAAGATCAACCATATAACTGTCACATTTCACCGTACCCCACGGATTTTCGTCTCTAGGGGTAGGGTATTTTAAAGTGAAGAGCAAACACATCGGGAACTTCGCATAAAAAGGCCGTGCGCGACTGACCTCAAGCAGTCGTCTCGTGAGTTGTGTCGTCACGCTCCCAATTAGCTGATGCCACCACTAATTCAGGTTCCTTTTCGGGTCCCTCAAGAAGAAATATCCTTCTACGGTGTAGGCAACCGGGGAGTGGAAACCACCTCCACGTCTCTATCAGCATTCGAAATCGTCTTGCTGACGATCAACAGAGATAACTAAATTACGGTAAATAAAGTGACTTTACATTTTCAGCGAAATGACCGAAAGCTAAATTCTATGATGACTGTCTTGATTTCATAAATGTAAATAATTTTCTAAAATTCAGGTAAGTTCACTTCACTGTGAATCAGACGAGTTTTAGCAGCTGAAGTTTCCAAACCTCTTGAAAGGATAGTTCATGCATAGTGGGAACATCTACCCAAACTACAGTCTACCACAACACGTGATGCTGAATGAGATAGTATTAGAGTGAAGGTTATAAACAGACACCAAAAAAGTCACTACGTCTTAAATTAATGTATATGGCGTAAGAAATATAGGTAGGTAAAGACTCGCTGGATATGGCCCTTTAGGTATTAATGGCTAAAATCCAGATTTCATGGTTCGAAGTCTATTATAATGGTAGAAACGATTTGAAATTTCGACTTATTTTAGATCCAGGCATCTCTTTTCCAAGCCCTACTCCTTATTTATTCCAGCGTCTTACTGTTTCTATTAATTTTTTGTCTGTGCGACTGAAAAGTGACAACTTAAACCGGCAATTCTGAGTTTAAATAATTGTCTGATTTTTAACAACTTATTTTTTAACAGGGTCAGGTTAGTTTAGAAGAGATTATTTGTTACCTCTCATAGACTAAGGTGGCTATTCACTTGTTGGTAGTGCATTACCAAACACTTAGTTGCAGAATCAAATCTTACTTAGGGATGGGTGGTTGGATAGTACCATTTATCCACATGAAGTGGTATCCGAAGCTGCATACAGAAATACATACTTTAATACTGAGTTATGCAGCTTGCTTTAGAAACGAATATTACGTCATGTACAAAATACGTGGGCCTCAATCGAAAAATTTCTTATCACCTAAAGGGAGTATTCCAACTACTAGGTTTATCTGGCAACTTAACACAACCCTGTGTAAAATAATAAATAAGAAGTTGTGTTCATACGATAAACTTAGTATAATTTATTTGCTATTTTTCTTAAGATGGAATTTTATGACTTTTTTCTACTGGAATTTGGTCTATTATCTAGTTATCATTATTTAGCTGAAGAATTATGTGACATAAAGAACATAATGGGCAGAGACGCATGAATACACTTACAAGTTTTTTACATCAACCTTTATATGTCCTAACTCAGTCATTTCTCTCATTGACTGAACTTTGCACTTGACTAATTCGGTTGGGCAAAGAGTTAAACTCGACCAAAAAGCAGCTATACTACCGGCAAGTGCATGCTGTAGTACTGAGAGATTACTATTATCCACTCCACAGAGACCGGCTATTAGATGTTCAGAAGGTGGAAGAGCACAGAATAGCACCGCATTTTCAGCTATATTTGCAACAAGTGACGGGACAGTTCCTGCATAGAGCCCGCGAGCGATTCCATCCTTCGCAAGTGTAACTCGGAGACACTTCCATGTTGACGGATGAACTTCCGGAAACGTTTGCATCTTGACTTTAATAGTATCCAATGGTTGTCCAACATATACTGAAGCAAATCCACCTACGACAAAAAATCAATGAGGTTAGGCAAACTACCGTTAATCCCAGCGACCAAACCAATTAAGCTATTCTTCACTTGCTCCATGCTAATATAGTGACAACGATAACTAATGCCAAGATCAGAATGGTTGAAGCCAGTTTTGTGGGGGTAGCGCTGAAATTCATAAGGTTTCAAGGAGAGATGTACAAAACTAAATACCGGTTTCCGTGATAACATAATAACTAACGTAAACTATTACGCTATCTGGTTTCTAAAAGTTACTCAACCAATTCGTGTTTTATCTTTAAACCACTAGATTTCCAGGGCGGAAACAATGAATGGATGGTTATATGTAATCTGTGTCTTAGTTGTTGAAGGGAATGTAAAGATTTTACAAATACACCACATGTTTGTAGGAAGCTAGTACAAATCACTTGAGTTCTTAGCTCTTGTGTCTTGTGTGAGTCACTGGACTCCAATAGTCCTTTTGGAGAAAGTTAACATAGATCTGTCGTGCTAATAGACGCCGATTGCCACCTGGAATCCACATGCACCCGGATAGGCCATACGAAGTCAGGACCAAGAACAAAGGCAAGTTGGAGCTGACCATTCCACTTGTGGACTGTCTAAACGATAAAAAAACGTGTAAAGGACAGGGCCTACCACCTCGGCAAACCTCATATAGGTGGGCTACCTGTCCATTCACATAAGGTTCATACAGAAAAACAGGACGAAGCTCACGCGTTCCAAATTGAAAGCATAAACTGCTTATATATGAACGCCGCGAGTCCACCAAACAAACTGGATGAACTACGTGAACTTAGCAACGCTAACAAGGCCCATCTGATAGGAATATCTGAAACCTGGATATCTTCTCAGTTCTCGGACCAAGAGTTAGCATTACCTGGGATGACTTTGTTCCGCAACGACAGAAAAATAGGAATTGGGGGCGGAGTAGCCATATACATAAGCTCTTGCTTGGAGGTGCACCAGGTTCACAACCTCGAGTTTAACAATCTTGAGGAATCCATATGGTGCTCTGTAAGGTTGTCTAGTACTTCCAGGTGTCTAGTCGGAGTCATTTACAGGAAGCCAACTGCCGACACCGAGTACGATAGTCATATGCTGGAAGGACTATCCCGCTCTATCCGTCTCGGTTTCACACACATCCTGATTCTAGGGGACTTTAATCTCCCTAGAGTCAACTTCGCGGAACACACGTACACTGGAGGCGACAACTCAACTGAAGCTCGGTTCTTCAACCTCATCGATAACTTGGGCTTATATGAAAATGTGAGGTCGGCAACTCGTTGGAGAAACAGTCAGACACCATCGCGCTTAGACTGTGTATTCACTAACGAAGAATTCCTAGTCGACAACCTCTCAATCCTGGCTCCTCTGGGAAAAAGCGATCATGCCGTCATAGCCTTCAGTTTTGTCATCAAAACTAAGCTAAGGTATCCCAACAATAATTTGCGTTGGAATTTTAAACGGCTGAATGTGCCAGCTCTACATGACCATCTACAACAAGTGGTTTGGGATGTTCACCCTCAAATCGATGTGGATGGTCATTGGGACTTCTTACTGCACACGCTCTTATGTGCTACAGACCATTCAGTTCCTCAAACGGTTCCCAAAAGCTTCAAGCCACCTACAGTAATCAAGAACCGTACCCTTCGCCTGCTAAGCCGCAAACGGCACTGTTGGGCGGAATACAAACGAACTAATAACGATGGAGCGTATAGGCAATACAAACATATCAGGAACACATGCACGAAGGCTATAAGAGAAGACAGGCTTCAGTACCAAACAAAGCTTATGGACAAATTCGCCTCTAACCCTAGAAGCCTATTCCGTTATGCAGCCTCTCTTCGTCAAGCCAAAACAGGAGTTTCTCAACTGCTAGGTCTTAACGGCCCGACCAACAACGATGGCGACGCCGCTAACCTTCTGGCGGCCCATTACTCTCAAACATTTCAACCGGCTGACATCAACTTTATTGACGACAGTTTCATCTGCAATTCCACAGGACTTTCTGAAGTGGACCTAAGCGCTGACTTGGTGTTCCGGAAACTGCAGCACTTAAGACTTGACACTTCTCCTGGCCCGGATATGGTTCATCCTGCCATACTGAGGGAGGCAGCCTCAATCCTGGCAACGCCGCTTAGCGTGATGTTTTCACACTCGCTTAGCCGAGGCAAATTACCGGAAAACTGGAAGTTGGCTCACATCACACCAATTTTCAAAGGTGGTCGACGCAATGAACCTTCAAGTTATCGGCCGGTAGCTCTTCTGTCGTTACCTTCAAAACTCATGGAGTCCCTGATATGCGACGGTTTAAATGACTATCTACTGTCCTTAAATTTCTTCTCACCCCAACAGCATGGTTTCAGGAAGGGTTACTCTTGTATAACCAACCTGCTGACTGCGGTGGACAGATGGACAAGCATCCTCGATCGCAAGGGAAAGGTTGATGTCATTTACCTTGATTTCTCAAAAGCTTTTGATAAGGTTAACCACTTGTGTCTTATCAACAAGCTCAAACGACTAGGTATCAAACCACCTCTAATCGACTGGCTTACTTCATACCTAAAAAATCGACACTTTAAGGTAAGGGTTAATTTCACTTTATCTCAAGCTATGGAATGTCCTAGTGGGGTCCCCCAGGGCTCAGTACTAGGGCCTCTTCTCTTCTTGATCTACATAAATGATCTTCCTCAACAGGTAACGTCAGACTTATTACTTTTTGCCGACGACGTGAAACTTTGGAGAGAGATACGCAACCAAGACGATATACAGGCACTTCAAGAGGATCTGACTCGACTTCAAAGTTGGGCAGACGATAACGGACTTACCTTTAACACTTCAAAGTGTAAAGTAGTCCATCTGCGACATGTCGCAAACTACAGTTACAACTTAGGAAACTCCTCTCTAGTAGTATCCCAAGTCGAAAAAGATTTAGGAGTCCTGGTGCCCCATGACTTAAAGTCTTACGCTAACTGTGACAAAAATGCCTTCCGAGCAAACCTTGCACTGGTAACGTTGAGGCGCATTTTTGGCCAGTTTGACGGAAGAACTTTCCACACAATCTTCAATAGTTTCATCCGTCCCCATTTAGAGTACGGAAACATAGTACTCCCCCCTCACTCCAAAAGGATAAGGTCACTTTGGAGCGTATCCAACGGCGAGCCACGAAATCAGTTCGAGGACTCAAATCTAAGCCTTACGAAGAACGCCTCCGTTCACTAGACCTTTACCCACTAGAATATAGGCGTCTTAGAGGTGATTTATTAATGGCTTATAGTATTCTTAACACTTCTGGACATCCTCTTAAACACCTACTTAAGCTTAGTTCGAATAATAACCTAAGGGGTAACACCCAGAAACTGGAAACACAACATAGCAAGACGGAATGTAGACACAACTTCTACTCCTTAAGAGTTGTCAAAAGCTTGAACTCGCTGCCGGCCGAGCTAGTCCAAGCGACTTCTCAGGAGTCCTTCAAGAGGCAACTTGACCTATTCTTAAGGACCAAGGACAGCATCACACTATGATTTACCAATTTCTTTTCCTCTTTTATTGTTAACATACCTAGGTTCCTGCCTGGAGGATTTGGTGATCCCCTGCTACTAGAAACGGAAGCCTGTTAAGCGAAAGCTTCTTCTATTCCGTCCACAACCATTTGAACCATTTTACATAGTTAGTTTTCGTGGTTATTTGCTTTTTTTCATTACCTCTGATAATTTATACAACTGCCATTATTGGCTGTGAACTTGTTGTTTACTAACTAGGTGATAAAAAATTATACAAATATAATGAAGAGATACGCCGCTACACACGTATACTTATTATTTTTTCTTTATCCAATGTTACGATAACAACACTCCGATATATATGCCGTCTGTGTCGACAGATCACACGGACATCACGTGGTTACTCTGGATACGTATCTCGGATAATAGCGACCATTGTTGGCATTGCTAACTACTATAATCAAAAAGAAACTTGAACACGCCTAACACTAGTAATCTAAGTAATGTCCAGTACATTTCTTTTGCGTATAATCTATATTTTGTACATTAACAAATCAATTCTTTTGGTTACTTCATGACAATAACCAACGAAAACGCATTTCAAACCAATATCTTATGTCTGGCGATAAAGAGATTTCGACAAATTTCACATACTTGCAAGGAGGTAAACAATGCTGATGAGTTTTGGAAGATACATGAGACACCAAAATCACCGATTGCACAAGTAAATTCTGACCAGCTCCTAGGTGATCTGCGTAACAAACCAAAACCCTCGCGTGTAAAACCTGTAGTGACCTACTTTTATGAAGAGAACGAGATTGCTATAATGGAAACAATTATTATTATAACCAGTTGTACCAGTGATTGTTTTACTGTACCTGTTGGTTTAAGTGTACTAAAAACACACTTTCTTCCGTTGTCTGCGATCTTACACGAACTCGTGTACGCTCAGTAGTCCCGTTTGTAAATTTTGGCACAATATCGGCATTATTTTGATACCATGAGATCACAAAAAAATACATCTTACTACAACCTTCAATTACCTTCTGATATTTAGCCTAAGGAGGGATCTGACCTAGTAACTGGCACGTAGTCTTCTTGTAGTGGTGATCACAGTCAAACGCGACTCGATGCCTACTACACCTTTCTGTCGGTGTGAAGTCACAATTGCCTAGCCGAAAAATTTAAAACTGTGATAATTATTTTTTCTGATGATCTTAAACGAACGCCACAACCTGGACTTGGTTGATCGAATAACGTCTTCAAATCCCGATACACCGCAATCGAAACGTTTCCTTTCCGTTCACAAAAAAACCTGATAGATTTGTAATCGTTTTCTACTTTGGATCCAGCACGTTTTTTTCTTCCAACTGTTATTATCATCATAACTCTTTTCTCGCCTTCCAGGTACTATTCTGGAAGAGTTCTAAGGACAGAATTGAATGATTCTATCACTTGTGAGACATATTAAGCTTACCTTGTTTAAAAAGGTCTGATTTTTCCCCGAAACTGCTGGGGCACCTAACGGTCATGGGGGTTGCCATCGTTTGTCGTGAACACAAAACTAAACAAAGTCTCAGTTGGGTGGATCATCATGATCTTTCCATTACGTGTGGGAGACGTTTCGGCCTATCACGTGTACCGCGATAACTGGTCTGTCGAGATACTTCATGAAAGCGAAATATTAGTGTTCCAGAGAGAACAACAGAGAAGCATGAAATGCTGCGAGGGCCGTTTTATGGATATTATCGCGCCTGACTC